ATTGGAGCGGGATCGTCGTCGAATTGTTGCCGCGAAATTTATTCCACTTACACATCCGCATGAGCAAACACGCGCATGTGGAAGGGCTTTACCGTTCCTACCGCCACCGCGCCGCCGCCCTTTTCCTATCCGGGCAGCGAAATCGGCTTTACGATATTACGCTGCCCGTGGAAGCCCGGGACATCCGGTTTATACGCCCGCTGCACCTTCTTCGTCTTGTATTCTATCGCGCTTTGCTCCGGATATGCCATCTTTCAACGCTTCTCCTTCCATTTTTTTTTAAATGAAAACCGCAATTTCCACGGAAATTTGCAATATCGTAAAAGAAGACATTGTTTATTACAAACATCGCAAATGCCTTAACGCTTACATCTCTTAAACATAACATCACGAAAGAAAGAAGCATTAAAAATAAATAAAGTTGATGAAAATGGACATAATTGATTTGTGCGCATTGGTAAATGAATCGGATTTTTTATTTTAATTTTTTATTTATATTTTATTATATTCCATTTATATTTCATTTTTAATTTTTAATTAGCATTTACTAATAAAACATTAATTAATGTTGCCAAAAATCTTTAAAATATTATTATTTTTAGTTTTATATTACTATACAATCAAAGGGAGAAAATGCCGTAGTTTTATATTACTATATTATAAGAGAAAACTAAACTATATAATCTCTCTATTATACAAATTTACTTCAAAAATTATGAAATATGTATATTTTGTAGTAATAATATTAGTATAACACACGCAAACTATATATACCAAATAATCTATATGTGAATTGTATATACGTGCTCATAAGCTACGTAATCTTTTCAGCACACACTTTCTTATGGATTTTATTATTTCAATATTTATGTGCAGTATATAAATGTAATAAAGTTTTGTAAATATAAATTTATTATTAATTGATTATAAAAAATCAATATCACAACCTATACAGTCGTCCCTTATCATATGTTCAATTATTATTTCCGTTATTTCGCTTTCCACGCAGCTCTACATCCGTTTCGTGTTCGTGTCGATCGGCAAGTGTTCCGCGAAATGACGTTCAGCGCGGCGTGCAAACGTTGATAATTCGCGCGTGCAACTCTAATTAATGTCGACGTGTCTGATAGAACGAAATAACGATTACCGTCGCGTACCGCGAGAAATGACATTATCAATTTTCGGTCGTAAAATTATGCAAAGCAAATGTTGCTGGCCCGATAGATGTGCCACGCACGAGCCAATGCATTTTAAGTAGGCAGAGAAGGGGAGGTTTCAAAGTAAACAACAAAGTGGCGACCACGAGCGAACGGATCTCTCACGGTAATCGAATTATCTTTCGCACGTTTCGCCACACCTTCGCCGAATCGGGAAATTCATCATTCTCTACAAAAATACGCGATTTTCTGTCGATAAACAAATTCTATGTTTTGCAGCAAAATAACGCTTAAGTTTTATATTTCAAATATATTTTGTGAAAAAATAATTCAAAAAGTGTAAGAATAAAAGAATTTTAGATCTTAAAAATTACATGCACAGCTAGCTTCCTATTTTTTCTTCACTGTTTCTCACCAGTTTTCCAATTATAACGTTTAACGCATCCCTAAAAGGTATAAAAATTATTATTATAGGTATGATGCAGCATCACAACTTCTGCAAATTTTTTAATCTCTGTCGGGAGTATCGTGGCCGTCTAAATCGATTCTCTCGCTATTTCCAACACGCAATCCTCACGGAAACGTCGGGATCGCTTTACTTCCGTTCCTTCTACATGAAAATACCGGCGAGACGTTCGCGGAAAGAACGCGACGGGCGATTGACTATGAACGCGGAACGATTGCCTGCAAACGTAGATAAACGGCGATGATACGTTCGGCGCTCGCGCTCGATCGCGAAACACCTCGAAAATATCCAATTTTCGCCTCGTCATCGGATGCGCGCGTCGCGAATATACCATGCAACGTGCCTTCTCGCCGTTTTCCTCGACCGCGAAGTGCGCACCCCGTCGCGGTACACCCCGAGCGATACCTCGCAGCTCGTTTCGCGAGATTGAATCAAGCCCGCATGGCCGGGTTAAGGCACATGAGGTCTGAATGCATAATGTCGATGTAAATGAGAGTCAAAGGTAAGCTGCCCCCTCCAAGCCCTCGCTCGCTGAATGCGCGCAGCTCCGTTCTCTTTCACTCTTTTCCCTCTTTTCCCTATTTCCCTCCCCTCCCTCGTTTCTCCTTTTATTTTAATAGTTTCCTTTCCGCTCAGTTTCCCTCTCTCTTTCATTCACTCTTTTTCTCCTCGCTATCCTCGCCGTCAGTGGCGTAATCTCGTTTGGTGGGGTGGTCTTGCACGGCGAAATATGATTACGACGATAGCGGTAACGACATTACCGGAGCTGACGCAGCCGGAGCCAGACCATCTATCCCAGATGGGTCCTAGGGTACGGTTGATCCAGATGGATACACACGGCGATACGTTCCTATACCCGCGATGTCCGTCTGCCTATCGCCATCCGCTCCCACGGGGTAATTTAAAACAACGCCGATTGTTATTGGTTTTAACTCAAATCCGCGACCGCGAGTTGACCGAAACGCGCTCTATTAATCGGTTTTGATGCACTATACACTCTACAGCCTCGTTGGCGTAACCAGATTCATATACGACGCGAAATAATACTTCACTTTATTATGCTATAAAATTATGAAAATTATGATTTTAAGCTCAGTTCATCAGAATTTAAATACTACGTGAACTATCTACACTTTACAGAATATCTAGCTTGATATCTAAATTGTTCCATAATTTTCGGCTCTTCTTTTGCATCCATGGATCTCATCTCTGAACAAAGTAGAATAGATTTTTCCTTGAAGAAAATTTTGCAAAACGTTTGTTTTATAAACTTGAAATTTTTAGTATTATATATGGATCTCTGTACTTAAGAATCATTTAATACTTAATAAACGAAAGATAATAAAAAACTTTTTTTATCTTTACATTTTTATATATATGTACGAAGTCTTTCTTTTTTTTTCTTTTTCTTTTCAGGAAAAATTCCGTAAATGCATTGAACGAGTTGCTGCGCTCCTCGGAGTCGACAGGTCGCGAGTAATCTTTCCTCCCGAGAAAACGATCGATCAGGTGTGCGCTTTGTCCTCGACCTCTGGGTCGTCCGATGATCGATAACGCGCAAACTTGATTCTCCAATGAAAACTTGCAGACTACTCCACGCGCTGGTGCTACACCCAGCGGGTCCCCGCGTGTTCCGGATACAAGAACCAGCTGGCTCTCCCGCAGGACCTGCATCCGCTCGAGGACGTCATCCGAGTGCTCGGCAAGCATCGGGAACCCGGCGGCGCCGCAGACCGAAAGAGGCTAAATCCTACATAGAGCTGCCTGGGTTCGTGTCGGGCATTCGCGCTGCGCAGCTAATACGAAATCTCAGGGGTTCAGCTTAGATCTTTGCCAGGCAAGTCGGACGTGTTTTGAGAACGTTAAGACGCTCTGACATCTCCGGGACCAAAAACGTGATCGATACCGGGACAACGTCGAGAAAGCTTCCGTTCCGCACGATTCCCTTTGACGTCAATGCTTTCGTAGCCGAAACTTGGCGATTCTCCTCGACGGGCTGCGATGTTTTTAGAAATTATTACCGCGCGAGACGAAGTTTACGCGAAGAAACAATCGTCTCTTCCCTTACTTCAGCTTTTTAGTATCTAATTGTTTGGACAAACTGCGCTATTTCTCGGACATTCCGTGTCGATGCAATCGATACGGAATTTCTTGCGCCGCGCCGGAGCTCAGATCGCTTCGCGGATAATCGACAGTGGCGGAGGAATCTCTCTCACTCTTTCAGGAAGACCATCTCAGCACACTTGAGCTTCGTCCTTTAATTCCCTCCGGAGCTGAATCCTACTGCCTTTAATTGTTTCCGCGCCGATGTGCACCTCATAAAAACGGACTTGCGGATTCGGTAGAACTTCTCCCGGCGTCGTTCTCGCGTCGTGCGACAGAGATCGCAAGAAATTAATTACCGTTTTTCAGCGCGGCGAACTGAGCTGCCGCTCCTTGATTTCGGTCTTGTTAGCCATTTCGGCGCTCATGGCAATACAGTTGCGCGTTGTGTTTCGCAGACGGCGTTTCGCGTCGCGTAAAGTTAACATGCAGTAAGATAGATGCGTCACTTGAAACTGCGCCAACGCATTTTTTTTTAACCCTCAGGGTACGATCTATAAAAAAGTTACGTTCCGTACGAACATGGGTTAGCCTAACCCGGCGACTTTGATTGACTGTATATCGGGCTGTAATTTATCAATTGAAACAAATTTTTTTTTCTTTGGATCGGAAATTTTCTCAAAAATACAATGGCGTTGGTAGATTTATTACCTTATTTGTTTAAACAAAGATACATTTGAAAATGTAAACCATTCTCAAAAAATTTTCATAAAAATTCATTTTTTCTTTTAAATTGCATAACTTTATGAAAAAAAAGATATCGACATTTTTTAAGTCGCGTTTGAAAGCTAAAAAGTTGTTCTTTGAAATGGCTGAATTCGTTTTTTGATCCATTCCAAAAAGTATATTTTTTTTTAACTATGAAAATACCCGTTTTTTTGCGATAGCGATATAACGTTACTTGCTTGATTTATCGTAATAACGCAAAAAAAAATATCTTAAAGTAAAAATAGTTCTTTTGGATGTTGTTGATTAGTATAATATAAATAAATAACAAAAATTGCATGCACGGATACGTTATGCTGGTATGCTACAGAGCATCATTTTGAGGTTAGAATGCACAAAAGTATATAAAAAATAGTAAATTATACATACCAGAATACTCTACAGCAGCAAATACTCGAAAAACACAAATTTTTTTTGTTTGAAAAACACGGATTTTGTAACGTTCCGTACCAGCTGGGTGTAGACTACCCGAGTTCAATTTTCAAATTCGTTTATCTTGAGCACCAAGCGTAGACTGACGCTGCCCCTTGGCGCTTACATATAGTAGCTACCTCAAAGATTTTTCCCCCCCCGGTACGGACCCCCACCATTCACTTCCTTTAAAATGGCGCTACTTTCAAAATTCGGCTCGGGTTACGCTAACCCAGATCGTACCCTGAGGGTTAAGTTTTGTATGGACGATTATATATGTGCAAAGTACATACATATGTAATATATTTAAATATTGTATAATATATCATATTTATATATTCTATATAAATCAATATGTCTAAATATTAATTTAAAGCAGCGGCAATTGCAAGCATCATAAAATTCCGAGCAAAAATAATTACTTTTTCGCTAAAATTAGTGATCATAAAAGACGATAATACCGACAATTACTGCTCTCTTTCTTCTATTGGTGGTAAGTTATACGGCATGCACGCTTGAAATGAAGCAACTTGCGGCAGAAATTCATCGTAATAAGAGAACCGGGTTGCTTCGCCTGTTTGGTCGATCCGAGGAAACTTTCTCGCGGATTTATTGTTTTCATCATGCCAGTGTTCGACGGAGCGACTTGGATTAGCGGATTATTTTGTGATTCGCTTTAATCTCCGAGAGATATATTTGGCTGCGTATTTGTCGTTAACATTAATTACGATGCAATTAATAAAGCTTTTTTGTAATTAGTAGCTTTATCACCTTAATGTCATGCATCATATATTTTCTATTTAATTAGGTACATTAATTTTCATGTCTTTGCGGAATTCGTCTTAGCTAATAAATTTATCTATCTATTTAAATATATAATACGTTTATATATATATGGAATGTATTATTTTTCGCTAAGAAAATATCTGAATATACCGAAGTCATAAACATTAAAATAGCAAACTATAGACTACTCTGTATACATCTATTCATATATCAGTTTACACAAGCCTGCTAATTAATTAATTAATTCTATGCATACATTGTGTACTGCAATTTTGAGGGAAAATGTGGTAATATAAGCGAGACATGACCTGTTCACTATAGCCTTGTCATATATGGTAGGCATCATCTCTGCTGTCGGCAGAGACACGATGTAGGCGTAAAGAGCATGGACAGCCTGGCAAACAGGAGGTGTTGAATTATGATCGAGCATTTACGCCACAAATGTAATTGATTTCGGGATGAATCGAAGTCGACTACTCGCGGCGATGTTCCTTACCTGCACTTCAACTGCATTATTTTAATATTATTTGCGGATAGGATCTTCATGCTGATCATATTATACTGGTAATTAATTTTGCGCTATTTTATCTTTATACAATTATTCGCGCTATATAATTATATCTTTTTCGTAACAAGATAAATTTCGGACTGTACAAAACATATTCAAAAAAAACGCATTAGTATGTGTGTTAAATATCTTTCTAATCTTTTCAGATTGATTTCTTTCACAGAAATTTAGAATTCTTTATTTTTCGGGATAACATTTTTCCCTTTTCGCTTAAAGATTAATTTCTATCGAAATATGTAATCACCTGCTGAAAAAATAAGCTAAATATCACTGAAATCACGAAATAAAATGCAAATTAAAAGGAAGAGCAAAATTAGCTAGACAAACGATCGAACGTGTCGCGGTCGGGGTTTTGGATATGTTTCAACGAGCGTTCGTGCATCGTTGATTCGCGAGGCCGTTTCTGAAGCGGCAGTTGCCGCTGCTGGATGAACGACCACCGTGTCTCTCGGTATTGTGCGTTATTGCCCAGCAACTCGATGGGATCGCTGATTTTAATGTGTCGCGAGGCGGGGGCTCACGGCCGCATTCACGTTTACACGCATCAATAATGACGTAGCGCGTGCAAAATCAATTAAATCAATTAGCGGCGCGAATCAAGGGGAGAAGGGATCAGGGGGGAGAGACGATGACTCAAAACCGCCTGTCTGTCCGGTGTGTGCCTACTTGTCTCCGCAATGCGCGGCTATCGGGAGTAATCGTCGCGCAATTTAAATAGCGCCGGATCGATCGTGCCAATTTCCATCCTTTCACGTCATTTTTTTCGCACTGCGAAATAAAAAATATATGATCCTCCGGATAGATCCTTTATTTTATTAATACCGACGTTTGTGTCTTCGCGGAATATTCATTTCGCCGCGATAACGCGCGTGGACTTTATAAAAATTCATTGAAATTGATTCGCGCCGTTTATGGTTCGCATACTTAATAACGTATCGACGAAGCTAATCGAAATGAAATCAGAGCGATTAAAGGAGGTAAAATAAGAAGCGCCAAGAAATAGGCAGCGATATTGAAATATCCTTTGCTTACATATTATGTTTCCTCGAGAATATTTTTATCTAATTATATTTTCATAATTACGAGAAAAGTGTCAATGTAATTGTCTTTTATCCTTGTATCTCAATGTGTGTGTGTTAAAATTTTATATAATGTCTTTTATAAATGTTTCTAGCAAAAGAACATACATTATTACTAAACCAATTATATCCGCGCTTATCACTTGCGATCGATTCCGGTCGAGGCGATTCTGGACATCGTCATCCAGCGTGTACAATGACGATCGTCATCAACATCGACGGTACGGAGGGATGATGGCCGCGTTTTGCACTATACTATATGGACTCGGTTATCTCCTCGCTTGACTTAAGATTGATATTCGTCGTGTACGTATCGGCGGACGTTAGCAAAACTGCACGCTCACCTAAAGCGCATTAATTAAATGCCGCTCGGCGATACAGTCCGTAGGATCGATACCGAATCGTTGCGCGATCGCGCCCTTCTCTCCGTCTCGCTCTCGCTCTCCCTTTCTACTTGCGAAATCCCGCCGCGCAGTCGGAACGCAACCGCATTCGCACGCACCATTCGTCCTCGCGCATCGGAAGTTCGGAACTTCCGCATGTGTTGCAAATTAACGCGACCGTTCTTGCGAATGGTGCATCGCGGGCGCGGCCGGCACGATCGATAGCTCCGGATAAACGAAGGCAACGGCTCTGTATATGTATATGATAAAATTTATCCGCCGTTCGGCGACTCGCGCTGACGTGCGGTTTCGTCGCGGTAAACGGACACGTGTTACAAAAATAATAATACAATATGCTTTTTTTTCCCAGAAAAAAATTGTGTCACACGTACGCATCTAACACACAAAAATGGCGATAAAAAAGTACCTAACGTATTGAAGTAGCCGTAAGAAAATTTTACCGTAATGTGAGGGATTAACAGATGAATAGATTAACGGAGCGAATGGAACATGTACGGTTTTAAAGTTTTAGCTGATCGACAATCTCGTATGCCATGCGATTCGAGCATTTCGCGTCTCTGCTCGATTACACATTTTATTTCGCTGCAGAATCCGCGTGGCATTAGTACGCGCGACTTTCGGCGCGTTGTTTCGGAAAAAATCGGATCTGCCGATTAATCCACTGCGCGCGAAAACGAATTATTGTATTATCGCCGACAATAGGGTTGCAGAAAACGGGGATGGAAAGTTCCGATAATTAAGAGCAACAATTTCGACATTACTCTATAAACGTTACTCTAATATATTCCTTTTTTTTTCTTTTCAAATTCTTCCACGATAGATACGCGTGTATAGTCTCATCGCTGAAGTTCAAATGCATGCTTGACTGCTGCAGAGTAACGTCCGAACTCTGCATCATCTACTCTTTAAAAAGTCGCGTTTCAACGTTGGGCTTCATGAATGATTCATGGCTGATAAATAACTGTCAGGCGGGACCTGAATCTACTTGTACTTTAATATCCGTGAAGTACCTGCTTTTCCGGAGAATGCCTCTATATATCTACGATAGTTAGAAAATCATTGCGGAAGACGCATTTTCAGCGACAGTTAAAGCGATGGAATGTAACCCATATTATCTATTTCTTGTCGATTATTTTGATCTCCGGGGATTTTTGCGTTCATACTTTAACAAATTTTATGAATGCGCTTTATTTCTCATGTAAATTATTCTCGCGTTCTTCAAATAAAAAATTTATTTATGATATAAAACCTTTGCGGTTAATAAACCGTAAAATAAGCTGTGCTCATGCTCGTATAAATAGTGATATAAAAGTTTAAATATTTTTCAGATATACATATATTGACCTGTATCAATATATTGGTCATATATAAGTCAACTGAATTAAGAAATAAAATATATAGTAGTTTAAAATTTCTAACGTATAAAGTTAGATAAAGTTAAAAGTCGAAAGTCAAAATTAGTTTGCGAAAGTATCTCATAAAAGTGAGAGGAGAGATATTAAACTTCCAAACTTGTTTGGGTTCCACGATTTTACGGACGACACGTGGTTCGCCAATTGGAAGCGTTCGATACGCGAGCCAATCGGTACCGACGATGGGAAACGACGGGAAAACGTATTTATGCATTCCGTCGGCGTTTCCAGCGTATCGTGCTGGGGTGCGTACGAGCAAAAACAAATTCGCGAATAAATAACGTTATTTATGAGGTCATCGGATAGTGGGGTGGAAACGGGCGGAACGAATAGCTAGTGGTGGAAGCAAAATCGTCCAGTATTTGAATAACATAAAACAAATAGAACCGCATTTATATACATACACACACACACACACACACACACATATATATATATATATATATGTAATACACATTTATGTATATATAAATGCAATATATATGTATGTATACATGTATAAAGAACATAATCTTGATATTGCTAAAAAATTATATTAAAATAAAAAATCTCCGTTGTGATATAAAAGGAAGCTTTATTTACCTATATAATTTGTTAATTTTTAAGTATTTTATTTAAATGTTATTATTTATTGGCGTTAGACGATAAAATATAATGGACAGCAAATAGTGAAAAAGATAAATGCGTTGGCAGACATGGTTAGAATTAACGGCTGGTCTCTTTGTTATTTATAACTCTCTCGACGATGGAAATAACGGTAAAAATCAGTCTCAATTCGGTCTTAGCGAGGAAAGTAGATTATGCGGTAATTAACGGTGCTCATAACATTACTCCCAGGTCTTTGTAAGTGTAACCTGCACGACCGACACCTTTTTTCGTTTACAGAGGTGAGAAAATAAAATCGTGACCAGGTTGTTACGACTTAAATTGGTGCTTTCTCGCTGCCGTTAGATCCTCATCTGTTTTTTTTCTTACGAAATAGAACTCACTTCTTTTATACGATATATCGTTCAAGAAAACCGAGGATTTTCGTTCTTACCTCGAGGATCTACCGAAGGTTCGCAAACGACAAAAATATGGTCGCGACAAATAATTTTCTCAAAAACAAAAATCTAATTGCTTCCAGAAAAATGTAGTAACTCACGAAATTGATCAAGCATTTCGAAAAATACAATTTATTACTATTATTATTTGTTAATAGAAGCTTATTATTTTAGAGATTAACCTATATCTTTTATTTTTATATTTTTCTAATAATATATAAATTATAATTTGTTTTTAATGTCTGCTCCCTCTTCTCCATTTTTGCAATATTAAAAACTTTCATAAAATTTTGAAAACATTTTATCAATTTCACGAGTAACTGTATTCTTTGAGTAATAAAATATTATATCAATTGCGATATATTAATGTATACACATTTTAATCTTCTCTACTAACAATAAAAATTACAGATTATGACATCAATATTGTAAAATTTATATGGTGTAGCGAAAACAGAAATTTATTATTATTTGTTGATAAATTATAATTTCTATTTTATTGATTAAAAATATAAAAACTCAGGAATTAAATCAGGAATTACAAGTTTAAGCAGAATGAAATATAGATACCTTTCCTGTAGAATACATCACCAAGTTTAGGGTTGATCTCGGAAAAAAGGAGATTTAAAATCGATCCGTCTCCTGCGGTTGAGTCTTATATCGCCAATAAATTATCGCGGATATAGGATAAACGTTGCGTATAATACCGCACTGAAATTCTGTACAGTGCGCGATAACGGGGTAAACCGCCCCTGCGCTTCCCGGTCAAACATCGGTTGGGATAATGTCGGTAAGAAATGTAGGGGAGTGAAAAGGCTGACGCGATCCGTTTTATTGCGGTTTAATTTATGCCTTGCCATCTGTGTGCACTTCTGCTCTTAGGCCGACGGTGGTTTCTATTTCTTTCCCTCCCTTTTTATTGCAACTTTAAATCAGGAAGTGCGATATTTCACAACGCGGTGAAAGGCCTAAACACCTGGCGGCAGGAGGCCGTTAATAAATCATGAGTCGCTAAGAATGTTGGATGTTTTAGCTTGTCTTGCAAATCTGCGAGGAGTCCGCGAGGATTCTCGCACGAGACGCGTGTGTAATCCATTCGCGTAATTTCTTTTTATTTCTTAGCGCGATATTGCGAGTTAATAGACCTCGAATTCACTCACTACGACATCGGTACTCATAGCGTTACTTCGTTATTTGTTAAAGAAAGATTTTTTACTTAATACGTAAACATATGCTGGCACAAGCAAATTATTATATATGGTCTTTAATTAAGTTTCTAATTTAATGCCTGTGTATTTATAGTCGTTACATCATCAGTGTATTTCTCTTTATTAGATAAATTGCTTGAAATATGCTCTTTAACAATAGAATATTTTTTGTTCGTCTTTTATATCTAAACATATGTCGGAAAAATCTTCAAATATTTTGTTTTCTGTGTGTGTGTATCAGCTTATACAATATTTAACTTTAGCTGTGCACGTAGAAAAGTCCTAAAATTAAATTTTATTTTAAAAAATATTATATATATATAAGAAAAGAGAAAAATAAAGAAAGGCAGTTAAATTATTAATTTTTCCCTATTATATTCTGTAGATAATTTATTTTTATTTTCATTTTACGTAAATATCTTACTTTTTCTTCAATCTTTATTATGCATAAAGAAATTTAAATACAAATTTTATATTCTAAACGTATTAGTATTCAACTTGTAATTATTTTTTCCTCATTTTTCTTGTTGTTAATTTTCCATTCACTGTTTGAACAATAAACTCAAAAATTCAATCCATTACAATCTACTTGACGTACAATTTCACGATAAAAAGTTAATCAAATAAAATAATTAATGCATTATATGTTCATGATGTGATCAATTATTTTTCTTATATAAATTGTTAAATATACCTATTTTGACAATTATACAAATTCCAAGATTAAATATTTTTACTAATAGCCCATCCATTTTAAGGTATAATAGATCTTTATGAGATACGATGAGTATTGTATTTATCTAATTTTTACGCTCTCTTAATTTTCATATACATATTCATACATTTATCGTACGTATCTGACCTAATTTTCACGCAGATCCATTAACTTAATAAAAGATAATTTGTCATTCACCAATATGATGCGCAGCGGCGGAGTTATGACTACGTTGAAACTGCGCGTTGTCCTGTATAATAGAAATACCTATACTAAAATTATAGCAATGTCCAGAATAATTAATATCTAAAAGAAAAATTGTTGTCCGCGCACAAAATCGTTTCAATGATTAATTCTGCAAGTAACAAATGAAATTTTCTCACCCCACGGTTTTTCCGCCGACGCCCGACGCCTCCCGGCCTCCTCCTCTCAGATTCATTCGCTGCACTCATATAACACCAGCATTTGCGAAAACACAGTTAATTACAATCGCACGTATTAAATATCACAATAGAATAATCGCCCGCATTTTGCACTCCCAATGTTAATCGCACGCGACGTATTTTACTATTTTAAATCGCGACGAAATTTCATCGAAACGCGATCATCCAAAAATATACAATCAAAATTCAATACTGCATATGCACAATATATTTCGAAGTGTTTTGTTATATCTGCAGGTAATTCGTATTTAATTCGAAACAACAAATTACGTTTAAATCTGCAAAAAACTCAAAAACACGACAATGCAAGATACATTCGAATCTAGGTACTATCAAGGAAATCATTGTCGCCCAAGCGCGTAAAAATATCGCGACAAAACAATACTTTATAATCTCCATCGATTCCGAAATAAAACTAATAAATCGCGCGGAATATTTGTTTTGTTAAGAATAGTTGATAGAGTCATTAAATCGTAGGAGCTAATTACGCGCGGGACTGATGCCTCAGTCAATCATTCGTACGAAATAATATCTCGTTTAGCATTTCCCGGTACTTGCGACCGTGTATTTCGACAGATAACACGGTGATACACGGAGTAACACGCGTCTCTACTAGCTCGCTCGAAGTTCGTCGCGCAAATGACAGCACGGCGGGCAGTAACCTTGCGTACGTCGCGTCGTTTTGTATATTATAATAGATATCAAGGCCAAATACAAACCGTAAAACGAAATATTTAACGTTATTTTTCTATTAAACAACTATACGTCAAATATTTTTTTTCTTGTATTGATTAACTTCGATAAATCAATCAACTGATGAAAAAAATGTTTTATCAATTCGATCACTGAAGCATGTGGTGATATATTTATACGTAATAAACGGTAAATATTAAAAAAAATGTCTTGTTTTCAGGCGACGTAAATAAAAAATTATATCTAATAAAATTAAAAACCTTATATTAGAACGCCCGCGTATAAATAAATACCAAAAGGTTTACACGATTAATAAATTTATCGACAATAAATCAATTTGTTCAGTAAATGAAATGTTACTATATTTTGTACCTCGTTTTATAAACTTTTGTTAGCGTTTCCTGAAATAACAATTAATTCTGTTCCGGTTAAAAGAACGTTTTGAAATGAAAATATTTTGTTACTCGAAATCTAATTGAGGAAAACATTTGCTTTAATCTGATGGATGTATATACATATAAATGTATACTGTTAATAGTATATATGAATTGTTCTTTTTTTTTTAAACAACTTTAAATAGTCGATGTTAATTAACCCAATTTAAAAAGAATTATTAAATCTATTGTTCGAAGAATGAAGTTTATCTTTATTTTAATCAAAAAATTATTTATATAAATTAATTTATTGTTATTTTCAAATTTTATCCAAAAGAGGAAAAAAATTGTCATTGTGATTTTATTAAATAAAATATTAGATATAATTTTAACAAAACGGAAAATATCAAATTATAAATTGTCGCAAAAATATGTAATTTTATTAAATTCCTTTTTTAAATTTATTAAAATTACACAATTTTTTGTTATTGCTTTGCGGGTATATAAAGAAAAAGACTTACATAACAAAATAATTTCCTTAAATATTTTTTCGAATAAGTAACACAAAGATTCCTCAACTTTATTCCTCAAATAAATAATTTCAAATAAATATCATATAAATATTAAATTTATGGCTGATATATTCAAATGTTACTTTAATGTTTTAAAACTTCTTGAACTTTAAGTCCGATTTTTTACGTAAATAATAGTTCTCTTCCTAAATCATCTCCGCAAAAAGTTTAAAAACTATTGATATATACATGTACACTGCACTCAAAAATCAATAATTGAACCGTGAGAAACACAACTCATTGTCAGAGGCATGCAGTATCTCAAGATAAACTTTATCCGAATTCCTCCATTACAATTGTAAATATCATAAATATCAAATTGACATTCAAGATCTATTTATTAAATTGTATATCATGTCTAAAAATTGGTTTTAGCTAACTTTTTCAGCAGAAATATGACTATAAGTACAAGCCTAAGATACTTGCATCCAGATAAGATTTCTTCTCACGTTCCCTTAAAATTTCTATTCGCATGTAATACACGGAATTGTTCTTGTTTCAGAACCTAGTATCTTGAATGTCCTACCTAATTCCATATCTCGACGATCGCAGTTACCATTCGCAAGACTACAGAGTTTCTCACGAAATTCTCTTACTAAACTAAAATGGATATTTGTGCTACTCTCATGAAATAGTAGCAAAACGCGAGGCAATTTCTATTTACTCCATTTTACCCGCCATATGGCGCAGTTTCCTTCAAGAATGATATATGCAATTGATGTTTTAAAAATGTATTTAATATATGGAAAATTTCGTTCTTTTCATCAATAAAATTTTGTCCGAATAAATAATTAAAAGAGTAGTGCTATCGCAGTAATAAATTAAGAATATAAATTAAAAATTTTAATTTTTTTACTTTTAATTCTCATTTTTCTAAATTAATTTTTCGAATAATTATACTAAAAAAATAGACATCCTTATAATTATGTATAGCAAAATACAAAAGCAAAAGATTTTGATTATATCTCGTCAATGATTTTCACCGTTAAAAATAATTCAGAGATGATATTAGGATTAAATATTAAGATTAAAATGTCGACAATATCAGTAACTCATGATTGAGAAAAACGCCTGTCAAATGTGTCGGTTTCTATTGTATACCTTATTTCTTTCATCTTCCCTAACATTCGTCGGAAAATTAATTTAAATCTTAATAGTGCGATGTATGAAGTTGCAAATTTTTGCAAGATCGCCATTTATCTGTGATGCAGTCGTGCAATTTCACAACCATTTACGGTGTAGCTTTACATTCCGTCTTGTGATTTTTAATCATTTTGATAGATCATCCAGCTGTTATGAAGCTATAATCGAACCTGACATATTTAATCCTTTTTCAATCAATTTCATCTTTATTATATCTTTCACTAATGTTTCAAGAGTATATCATTTTAGAATTAATTCTTTTATATTGTATTAAAAACGGTTTTAATTTTGATGTCGCTGATACATTCAAAAATGTTAAATTTATTAGGAAATTAAAAAAAATAATATTTTAATATTTTAATATAAATTATTAATATAAAATATTTAAATAATGCTTATCATATAATTTACAATTAAATAATAAATGCTAAAATTATGCAATGACAAATACAGCAGGCGAAGTAAAATACACTAAAGTACTTCTAAAAGTAAAACACGTACGCTTCCTCGTTGACGAGGAGTTGTTTATTGAGCTTAAATGTGTATACTCTTTTAACACATAATTTCTAATTCAAATTTACTTGCGAAGCAGCTGATTCGCAAATATCGCAAACTGTAAACGTTGGACATATAAACGATACCATAATCCCGCGGCGTAATTTATCGGTGGTGTGCCCGCCCTCGGTACCACTTACGAGCGAGGGGCTTGCGAGAGGATGAAGGGTGGTGTGGAGGCGCCCTCAGAAAGACTCTGCCATTTCCGTTTACCCTCGGTTTCGTGGCGCTCCGCTGTCTCGTCCAGGCGTCCCGAAGTCTGCCCGGAGTTTTCGGTTAGTGGAGTTAGTGCGCTGGGCTGGCCCTCGCTCGATAGTTCTCCTTTTCCCTTCCGCTCTCCGACCCTCCCCGCCCCCGAAACAGTCGAATCAAGTGGCGATGCTCGCCTTCGTAATTGGCAAAATGGAATCGTGAAACCGGAAAATACGGTGACACTATACGATCGTGTATAGTACCCATTATCGTTCGCATATGATGATGCATACGCAAAATCTTCCACTTTCCCTCCCTTCCATCTCTCTTCAAATTTTAGCGATCGGATCTTCGAATGGAACCGACTCCTTTGTCGAGTATTCTTGTAATATCAAATCATCTTTCGCGATTTTTTATTTTCGTCATTCCATATATGTATGAAAGTTTCAAATTAAAATTCGCGGACAAAACAAAGTTTTTGTTAATTTATCTATCTATGTACATCTTTGAAGCTTACTTCGGGAAAAACTTTTCTTTTTGTTTACCCTAAGAGCACTCGTTGCTTCGACGTTTTATTAACAAAATAATAATTTTGAATTAAATATTTGCTTTTAATAAAATAAAACACGAGAATATAAACGAGAAACGTAGCGTATAACAAAAACAAAAACGCTTACATTATTTTTGAAAAAGTTCATCATACAATTACGACTATTTAATCGTATCGCAAACGTTGCAATAGTGAATTCTTTTTCATGTTAACAATTATTAATACCCTCCAATATCGTTTTCCGCTGACTCCAACATCGCTTTCCCGTTCGCGATTGAACTGATGATCGAAATCGCCCGTCAGGCGCGCGATTCAACGCGTTTGCCTTGTCAGCTGGACGCTTGTAAAAAGCCAGGTATTTGTCATGCAAGCCGATGCACGATCGTAATACACTTTTAGCGTTTCGAGGCGAAAGCGGGCCATTATAGAATTGAGGGTGGTGCACCGTTTCTCGGATAGACAGTACGAGAGGAATGGTTGGGCACGGGACCGATTCGACCGAATGTACCTTCTCTATCTAAACGGCCTCGAAAGACAGCTCGGCAGTTAAGTGCGGCGAAATTGCAAATCGAAACGTTTTACGCGGGCAATGAAAGGAGTCGCAGTCGGGGCCCGCCGGTTCGATTACGGCTCTGACCGTAAACTCGTGACCCGGGAAATATACGTGAATGGGAATGAAGAGCAAGAGCGAGCGATCGTGGCCGTTGAAGTCGAAGACAATCACGTCGGATTCGGATGCGTTTCGCGAATTCCTTCTTCGATTACTCCTTCTTCTCTTACCCCTCGACCAACATACTCGCCGCCGGCACGTTCCGATAATCAAATTTGGATTCGTCGAATTTTTTCAACCCGGGGAAAATTCTTTGTTCGTCGCCAGAAGACCTTTTTGTGTGCTTGGCATAATAAAAGATCGATGGAAATAAATGATTTTACATGTAGATCTGGTTTATTAGATTTGTTCATTGTTTTTCAGATTTAGTGTGGCTGTTATTAAGAAAAAAATTGAAGGACAATTTTATTTCTTGCATCATCGTCATCCGCGAATCTTGTTGAATAAAAAAACTAAATCGCGCGATTTTGATGGCCGCCGTAAAAGTCGCCGCAGTTTCGAGTGAACTCGTGCTTGTTCTCGCCTGACGATGCGCGAACTCGATGTTACAGCCCTTGGTCCCCGAATTTATCGCCTGTTTCGAGGCATCGATGACGCGTCAACGGCATGCCAGCTCGCGCTATCGTCCGCTGGATCGACGGAAAGCCCCGGGAATCGAAGGGCTATTGGGCGCGGGCCCGTTTTAGAACGCCGGCGACAGCTGCCGCCGCGATCGTATAGGAAAATAAGAGAAACCGTTGTCGACTCCTTTTTCTCTCTACGATCGAGGCAGTGAGTGGATGAAGGTGCGCTATGGGATCTCATAAATTGTCCGGACAATCCTAACAATGGAACTCGAGCGATTCGAAGCATCGCGACGGTTTTAGAGACGTGATTTTTGTGAAACAATCTTAAAATTGTATCCCGTGCTTAAAAGGTAAATGTAAGTCAAAATTCGAATTATATTATTCGATACTTTAATTGGAGATATCTTATAATGGAAAGTTAGCTTTTCGCGGAGTTCTTTATAAGTCACCTTATAAAGAACAAGCTTAATATTATGTTTATGTATATTTCGATGCTAGAGTTAGCATTCATTTTAATGACATTACGTACTTAAGAGAAAAGAGAGAAAAGAACGAGAAGATAGACTCGGCGAAGAGAAGGAAAATCATAAAAAAAAAAAGAATTCATTTATCCTGACCTCCGGCTTACGTTCCATTTGACATTCCGCCTGCTCTAACTTCGTCTTCTTCGTCGTCGTCTTCGTTAATATACACCGCGCGCTCGCGCTAAGGTTGTTGAAAGTTCAGCGAAAACGAGAAGCAAACGGTGCGGGACCGCTTATTATGCGGGGAATATTAAAAAGTCGCCAACTTGTTGAAAATCTCAGACTTTCTTTCAAACTGTTTTCATATGCGTTTCATAAAATGACCGTCAAACGTCAAGCAAAAAAATTGAGAAAAATTCTTGATCGGAGAAACTGAAGAGATTATTCACAACTCCTTTTTCCACATATACTCTATATATATATATTAATACACATATATGTATGTGTTGATTATAAGATTTTATTATTACACTAAAAAATAATGAAATTCATATTATAAGAGTGTACATGGATCACGCGGAGTGTCGGTAGAAAAGACGGAACAAAATTCAGAGAATTTATGGCAATTATGAAATCTGTTTCGAGCAATGACATTTGTTAAAGCAGGCCAATTAAAGTCTAATTGCCAACGACAAATATTATTATATATCAATAACATCGTTCAATTTGTATCTATTTATCACTGCCCTCATCCGGTACAATGCAATTTGCAAAACAATTTACGTTTCGGAGTTGCGGCGAAATGCGCTCGCGATTTATCCCTAATTACGATGGATCGACCTCGATTGCGAGTGGCGATAGTAGGTCACAGGATATCCAGCATCCACAGCGTTGTCAGTCAGCTACGGAGTACAGTCTCTATCGGACAGTTATCATTCACGACAGCATGTTTCGTAACGTAACCCAAGCTCCTTTGATCGATAGATCAAGAGCCGATCGTGGCTTAACTCCCACAATTTTGCGTCGCGGAAGAGGAGATTTACGATCGCTGCGACCGACAATGTGGATCCCCTTTAATAACCGCCGAACCGCCCTATTACCCCAGCCTCCCTCGTCCTTACTGCCCTCTCTGCATGCCCGCCGGGCTTTTGCCATTTGTAATACGCGCGCGATTCACGACCGCCTACTTCGCGATCCGCATCGCCATCGTAGATTCGCATTACCAGATAATGCGACAATTATACATTGGAGTTTATACCGTGTCGCAGCCGGCGGAGGATTTTGCGCGGAAATCAGGCTGACAAACACGATTCCCGATGAGTAATGTGTTGTCGCGCGAGCTCGAGTGCCGTTTTCCAAATCCGTTCCGATTTGATCGGATCAGAAATCGATAAGCGAGAGCGCTCGGTCTTGCTCGACGGATTATCTCGATTGGCCTGGATTTGTCTGGCGTTTTTAAAAAATGCGGCATACTGCGGAATTTGTACTCTCTCTCTCTCTCTCTCTCTCTCTCTCTCTCTCTCTCCCTTTTGTAATTTTTTGTCATAAAAATTCAAAAGAGAATAACGTTCGACCAACATTGGCCAAGTAAAAAACTAGATTCTGAATTATTTGAAATATTTCGTAATACCACTGATACCGAACATCTATAGCGCAAATTTTCGCGACCCCTCGCATTTATGTACTTTATAATAGTGCCGTAAATATTATATTCCGTATGTCGAAGCGTGTTTACAATATCCGACGTCGTTTTGCAATTTGCATGCGCTTGCCTCGCCGCGGATTATGGCAAAAGCGACAGAGCTGGATAATTACCGGCCAGGATTAGTTGAATGATCAACAACGAAAATCATAATTTCCTTTCGGGTCGGTCAACGCGATCGGTCAGGGGGTTATCCAGAATCAGCTGTCCAAATTACAGGCCAATACACACGGCTGGTGTGACGTCGACACAAAGCCAGATGCGTGTAAACATCGGCCGCGCTCGGCCGACTATGTCGCCGATGAATCATTCCTGAGGCTTTTACTCGACTAATTAATTTGCGGCCGTGCCGGATATTTATTGAACCCGCGTAATTACAATTTATAACGGATATACCCAACGAGATACATCATAATCATAATATTATCGTGCTTATTTTCCCGCATTTTTCAACCTACTTTGTGAGTAACAGCCACGTTTTGATTTTTCTCTGTGTAGATTGCAAACCACGTCGAGATTCTTCTTTCATTTAATCCAAACAATAGTCCCATGTTCTTTCATTCCTACCGATTTCTACTTGCCGTAATGTGGGGCTTGCTCGTTGAATCGTGCTCACTGTGATAACGCGAAAAATGGATCAAATGCGTGCTATAATAATGATCGCCGTAGGAAACTGCTGCTTTCGCCTCATCGAACGTGCTCGTATGATTGTACGAACGTTTAGAGATAATCGAAAGACACTTGCTTTTATATATTATACAGAAGAAATATTACCTTTATCGAGACGTAAAACATTATATTCGCATCGTGGTCAATATATCGTATGTTGTTTTATTGCCGTTGATGCAGTTTGGAATATGATAAAACATTTTATTTGTAAACAACAATTTGTATTGCGTATTTTGTACTAATTCTATTTCAGTAGATCTTTTCGCATCTGCGGTTTCACGTTAAAATAACATTTTACAACCACTATCAAAAATAATAAATACAATATGCATATATATGCACATGTACAAACTTCATAAGATTTGAGCTGAAAAAATGTTGTTTGATCCAAATAAAATGTTTTACATATATTTTTCAATCGCTATAAAAGAATATTTGGCGTTACAGTTAGAGGTTGATTTTTCGGATAAAAATGTTTTTCGATCATTCCTGGTACAAACGCGCGCATGGTACGGGTGCTGAATAAACTGACTCGCCCGTAGAGACGAGCTCGTGTTAGATGTTAACGATGAATTGTGGCCAGCCGGAAAACCAAGGTCCCTACTGGGAGATCAGAACCGAGACCATCGCGCACTTTTGCCATATCTTCTAATGGCGCTGCAGCTGCGAGAGTCGCGTGTCCGTCGGGACGAAATTCATTTCTCAACAGGCTCAAACTCGCAACGGTCGTTTAATTGAACGGGCTAGATTTGCTAATTGAGTCAATCTTATCGAAAACGAACAGAACTTGGAGGATCAAAATTCGCGTCAAATTCGTTGATGATTTGTATTCCTGCAGGAAAAAAAAATACGCAACGAGGCATTTGGTTTTTTACCCATCGAAATAGCCCAATTCGCGCAGAAAATATCTATGCGTTATGCTCCCGATATCGGTTATATCCCCGTTAATATTTCTTGTGGGATTTGCATGGCGCGAGGTCACGTCCAGCAGAAATTTTCACGTTATTTTCGCAACCATCTCTCGCGAATAAAATCACGAACTACGATCACGATTCGCAGTGTCCGATACGTTAGTATAAAACAATCTTTACGAGTGATCGTAAGATGAGATTGGTTTGCACTAATAGAGAATAAATTTCGATTTACATTTAATACTAAAAATTTATCAGCCTTTGACATCTAAGCATCTCGATCAGTACCAAAGCTGATTAGTTTCAAAAGCTCTCTTTACTCCAAGTGCAAAATCGTTCGAGTCCGATTTAAGTCGATTTTACGAAATCGCGACTTTTCAAGCAGTCACTGCAGTCACATCAACCTCGGCGGCACGTCTTTTAAGACGTCGTCGGATAACGGCAATGATCGTAAAGTTCGCCTTAATGAACGTCGTTCGTCTCCGTTGCGAACGTTTGTGTGGCTCCGTTGGTTCCTTATCAACATTAGCCAGTGAGACGCGAGGGAGAATAACATTGGCCTCTGGCGAGTAATATATCCATATTTCCCGTCATCCCTTAATGCATTATGCATAAGGGTTCGATATATCCGGCGGAGGTGTGTGGTGCGCGGTGGTAGGGTATAGTAGTACATATTCGTGTGAACTCTGCATATCTCTTTTGTGACCCTGCAGGGCACAAGAGCGAAAGCGCGCGTGCCGTAATAGCGACCCCGTAAAATCGCATCTGTGTGTATAGCGCGCGCGAGGGTTAATAATATTTGATAACCGAATATAAAAGTCCCTTTTAACGTAACCACGTAATTGGCCAAGTAAAGAGTGTCCTCCCGTTTAACGCTTATATTCGACAAAATAAAAAATTATCTCGTCGCTCGTAGGACATAATAACCGAATTATCTGACAGATGAGCCATACTCGCGTACCGCCAATATTTGCGTCCATTAATTCTGCGCCAGTAGCACGCAGTATGCAGGTTTAATTATTAACAAAGGGAATCGAATGTACCGCGAAATATAACGAGCACAGAATTGCGTGTCGTAAATAAATGAAATTCTTTTAAAACGCTACAAATTTCAAACTATATACATAGTAGTTAGTCCATAAACTATGCTATCGTAAATTTTATTTACGCTGTTCCGTACAAATTCTATCCGTTAAAATAGCTGCAATATTAATATCTTAATTATATGAACCCTATATGCTTGTAGTGTATTCCATGCTAATACGCTATACGTATGTACATACGTATATGCGAAACGTGAATTTTAGGGATGATTACACATATATAAATAGGATGACATAAGCATTGTGTACAGACCATTGTGCATCGCCTCATTTTAAATGAACCGGTTCGATTGTCGCATTCATTTTTACTTCTACGTCTGACTAATTCGCGGATATTTCACTGTGAAATTCATTTTGGTGTCAACGATGATAAATTACCGTCACACCGACGTAATTAATTTTTACGCGGACCAGTGACTGGTCGCTGTGTATTGCGATTATATTTCTCTATTTATATACGATGTTAAAAAACGACAATCTCGGAAACGGGATAATTCTAAATGTTTTGTACTTT